ACCCACAGCAGCCTCTGACACGAGGCATCACTGAAGTCATGGACCCCTCAGGCTCTCCCTCCGTGTCTCGGAACCCGAGAGCCCAGGATCTCAGGTCCTTAGGTCCAAGGATGGCGTCTTCCTCTGCCTTGGCAGGCCTAGGCCACTGCTTGGAGCAGAAGGTGCTCACTGGATCTGTCCCCAGGGGATAACCACCTGGCTTTTGGGGTGTAGGCTCCCCTTCTCCCAGGCAAACCTGCCAGAAGGAAATCCCAAGATTTCTGAAACTCATAATGAAGGACAGAGGTCAAGCCAGTTTCAGCCCAGAACTTTCATCAGCTGCAGGAGAGGGGCAGAAGGCCAGGGGACAGGGGCGGATGAGGGGCCCTGCACCTCCTGCTGTAGCCCAGGGATACCGGGGCCTAGGCACGACTCTTCAGCCCCGGGCCCTTGGGCCTCCCTGGGCCTGCCCCTCCATCTGTAGCACAAGAAGGTTGGATCACAGCCAACTTTCAAAAGTTACTTTGAAAAAAACTGTTTAAGTGACTTTGAATGAGAAGCACTTGGGGTGTAAAATGCAGGTTCCCGGGCTACCCCCAGGAATGCCGATTGTGCACAGGCAGGGCGGAGGACACTGCCTGCTTTCCAGGATTCCTGGCTGATTCTGTTGTAGGTGGCTGGTGGCCCCTGTTGAAGACCCACTGCCCCCTGGTCCCCAAGAGCCCTTCCAGGGTGGATAGGTGAAGGAGGAAGGCTGCGGTCAGCAGTGGGTCAGCAAGACAGGACCTCAAGGGAAGCCTGAGGGCCATTTCACACGGTCTTTAGATTCACAGACGGTCTCAATTTAGGTCCATCCATTCACAAATGGGGTTGATATTGCTCCCCAGGTGATATCTGCCAATGTCTAGGGACATTCTGGTTATCTTAACGGGGCCCGGGGGAGAGGGGGAGAGGTGCTATGCATATGGTGGGTTGAGGACAGGGATGCTGCTAAACGCCCTACATAGGACATCATATAGGAGTGCCCCATAACAAAGAACTGCCCTGCCCACCTCTCAAGACCAAGGTTGAGAAGCCCTGACTGCTAACACGGCCAGATCTACCACAGTGAAAACAGGAATGAAAGTGGCAGTCACTCTGACCACTCATCAGACAACTTTCAACCTATCGCAGTGCTTTCTACAATGTCCTCTTGGCATTTCTTTGCTTTTTAATATACTGGGAGCCTCAAAAAGCGGAGGCCTCTAGCAACTCTGAGGTTATACCCAGAATCCCCCACCCCACCTAGGAACACAAGGCTCCCAGCCAGGGTCCCACTAGGGGTGGGTGGGCTGCCCCCCCTAAGCTGGCACTCCCACCCCAGCCATCCACCCAGAGAGGCCCCCCTCCCTCTCCCCGCAGGTCCCGCCTCGGCCTGCCTCCTGCTGATGCTCCTGGCCCTGCCCCCAGCAGCCCCCAGCTGCCCCATGCTCTGTACCTGCTACTCGTCCCCGCCCACCGTGAGCTGCCAGGCCAATAACTTCTCGTCGGTGCCGCTGTCCCTGCCGCCCAGCACGCAGCGCCTCTTCCTGCAGAACAACCTCATCCGCACGCTGCGGCCAGGCACCTTCGGGCCCAGCCTGCTCACCCTGTGGCTCTTCTCCAACAACCTCTCCACCATCTACCCGGGCACCTTCCGCCACCTGCAGGCCCTGGAGGAGCTGGACCTCGGTGACAACCGGCACCTGCGCTCTCTGGAGCCCGACACCTTCCAGGGCCTGGAGCGGCTGCAGTCGCTGCACCTGTACCGCTGTCAGCTCAGCAGCCTGCCCAGCAACATCTTCCGTGGCCTGGTCAGCCTGCAGTACCTCTACCTCCAGGAGAACAGCCTGCTCCACCTACAGGTGAGCGTGCCCCACTCTGAGACACACACACACACACTCACTCACTCAGCTTCTGGCTCCTCCATCCCTGTACACAGGGGACACCCTTCCGGCCTCAGGGTCTCAGCCCCTCTGTTTCTCTGTCCCTTTTCTAACTTTCTGTCCCTCCCGCTTTCTCCAGGGGCTTTTCTTTATTTTGGCTCTTCTGGCTATCTTTCACCCAAGCCCCCATCTGACTCCCTCTGCCTGTCTCTCCCTTTCTGTCCCTCTCTGTCTCGCTCCCTAACTTGCCTCCCCCATCTGTCTCCTGCCTCTTCTGTCTATCTCCCTTCACACGCCCACTCCACACACACCCCCGTGTCTGTCTGGGTGTGTGTGTGTGTCTCTCTTTCTGTGATCTCTCCTTCCCCCGCCCCGTGTTGCCTTCGGGGGACTGCCTGTCCCCAGGCACCCCAGCCCCAAGACCTTCATGGCTGCTCTTCTCACCCACCCCCACACCCTCCCACATCATCGGGAGGTGGAGCGAGAGGGCAGAGCCACTGCAACTGGTACCCCATAGAAGGTTCCACCTCTCTCCATCTCGCTGGGTAGTGGGACCAGGGGGAACCCTGCCCTTCTGAGTCCCCCAAACCTGTTGTCTCAGTGCAATGGGAGAAAGCGAAATGGGTAAAGAGCTGTTAAGTAGCTGGAAAGTGGATGCCCTGAAAACGGAAGGAAAAACAGTAATTGCTGTTTATTGTTATTATTATTGATCTCAATGTTGTTTATCGTTGTTGTTATGCTGACTGTTTGACAGTCAGGTCCTCCCATTCTACTTCCTCAGGAAGCAATAACACACCCTCCAAACCACTCTGGGAGAAAGTTCTCTCTGGATATCCAAACTCTCCCCTCTCCCCACATCAACCTGGAAGGCACTTCCTCCCCTCCACCCCGGGGTTGGGGCCGAACTGGTCGCCCACGTGCAGATTTGAGGCTGATAATGAGAATAACTATAGTAATAATAATGTAACATTTATTGAGCCCCCAGGATGTGTGAGGTGCTGAGAAAAGAGCAGTGAACGAAACAGAAACTCATGCCTTCACAGAGAGCATTCTAGTGGTGGAGAGAGACCAGGAGTAAAGTATACAGTATGCTGGGGAAATATGTTGTGTGCTATTATTATTATATAAATAATGATAATAGCGCACTAGCACTTAGCGGGAACACTGTGTGTCAGGCCCGGTGCTTAGGACTTTTCAGGTATCAGCTCTGACATTCACAAATATGTGACATTTTTTCACCTCTATGGGCCTCAGTCTTTCCTTCTGTAAAATGGGGGTAGTCATAGCATCCAGCTCCTAGGGAGCATTAAGTGCATGAATAACTTGTAAAGTACTTGGAATAGTGCTTGGCATATGGTAAGCACCATACAGATGCTTGTTAAAGTGCTATTTTAAAAAGAGAAGGGGGGAAGGTAGAGCTCAGTGGTAGAGCGCATGCCTAGCATGCGTGAGGTCCTGGGTTCAATCTCTAGCACCTCCATTAAAATAAATAAATAAACCGAATTACCTCCACACACACACACACACACACACACACAAAGTTAGGAAAAAAAAAGAACAAGAGGAGAGAGATATAGGTCAGTGATAGAGCACATGCTTAGCATGTATGAAGTCCTAGGTTCAATCCTCAGTACTTTTTTATTAGAAAATAAAAAGGGAAACAAGCCTCATTTAATATTGGTCTCGGTGAAATGGTCCATCTTGGACCCCATTCTGAAGATGTGGGTGGTCAACTTCAAGGATTATACTGAGACCATGGGTGGGTCCCAGAACATTCCCTCCTTTTTTTTTTTTCACTTCTTAACTTTGCACTTCATGGTTTCCAAGTGAGCTCAGCCACCTCATCTCATTTCTACAGCCCTGTCGGGAGATTGTTTACACCTCCTTACAGATGAGGAAGTTGAGAACAAGGGTCCCAAAGACTTTGTCCCAAAGTCTCTTAAGCCACCACTGGTGTGACTGGAGGCTGATGCGTTCTCACGTCGAACCTCACAACAGGCTGGCAGCAGGGACAGAGGATGAGGCCACACAGCTAGGAAGACCTGGTGGTACTTGAACTTCCATGGTCTGATGACATTTCAGGCCCTTTTCCTCACCGAGAACTCTCCCCTGGGGTCTGTTCAGGTGCAGGGAGGATGGTACTCAGAAGTCCAGCAGAGCGGGCTCATTTTTGAAAGCACACACTTTGGAGTCTGCCAGACCTAAGTGCAAATCCCAGCTCCCGTATGACTTTGGACAAATTACTTAACCTCTCTCCACCTCCATTTCCTCATCTGTAAAATGGCAATCATGATGTCCTTAACAACAGTACTTATCTAAGAAGTTTTGTAAGGGTTAAAATTTAGCACAGGGCCACATCAATACGTGCATGCTGTCATAATTCTTATTATTGTTAGTATTAGTAGTCTGACGGCCACTACCACTGAGACCCTTTCCTCCTTATCAGCATATATTCGTTCAGAATGGGGAAGCTGGGGTCCCCGTGCCTGAGTTTGAATTCCTGCTCTGCTGTTTTCTGACTTCTTTAACTTCAGGCAAGTTGCTTCCCCCCTCTGAAGCTCAGTTTTCTCATCTTTAAAGTGGGAATAATAAAAATAATACCTCCGTAAAGAATGGCTGTAAAGAGTAAATGAGTTAGTATACATGAAGCACATCGTTCAGTGCTGAATAAATTATGTCATCATGACCTGATCCCCCATCAACTCAGTCCACAGTGGCAACCAGGGTCTGGGGACAGGAAAGACCTGGGCAAGGGGGACCTTGAGTGGATACCAAGGGGTCTCCTGAAATGGGAAGTGTCTACTCTGCACAGCCCTGGCATGAACGGTCCAGGGCATCATGGGAAGGAAGCATCTTCACACGTGGCCCTTTAGAGAAGAGAAAGAAAGACACAGCCTCTGCCTGTGAACTGCCTGGAGAAACTAGGCTGGGAGATGCCACAGGCAGGTGGGGAAGCATGCGGGCTGGGGTGAGAGCCACAGAATGCAGGTGTGACCCAGTATGGAGCCAGGCCTGCCCTGAGACGGGAGCTCTGGAGGAGGCAAGAAGACCACAGCTTTTCAGGATGAGGAAGGTGGAAATGAAAAGGGGGTGGGATGGAGGGTCTCAGGGACCGTCTGCTGTAAGCCAGGCACTGTGCTGGCTGTCAGGGACTCAGGAGGGAACATAAAACAGTGTCCCTGCTCTCCTGGAGCATATTTCCGACTGGAGTGGAACCAGATGATAGAGACAGTCATCCCTCTTTTAATCACTAGAGCAGCCTGCATGGTGTAAAAGAGCAGTCTTTACATTCAAGCAGATCCAATTTGCTCTGTGGCTTTGGGCAAGTTACTCAACCACTCTGAGCCTCAACGGGCCCATCCATGAAATGGAGGAAAAGGCTTATACCTCAGGGGTTTGTTGAGAGAATTAAAGGAGATGCTACTTGAAAAGGGCTCAGCTTGTCTAGTCCAGAGGAAGCATCACATCCCCCATTCAGCAGCTGACGACACTGAGGCTTACAGGAGTTAAGTGACCCATCCAGAGTCACTCGACTCGTAAGGGGCACAGCTTCGAACTGGCCCAGGTCTCTCTGACTCCAGAGAGCAGCTGTTCAGAGTCCTGTCTCCAGAGTTCACATCTGCATTCCACTACGTATTAGCTGTTCAACCCTAGGCCAGTCACTTGCCTTCTCTGAGCCTCCCTCTCCTAACCTTTGAAAGGGGGAGAATAACATTAGCTGCTTCATAGGGCTGTGACGGTTAGGTTACTACACGGGATCTGTGTGGCACAGAGCTTGGCACACAGTGAGCGCTCGGTTAGTCAGCTGCTGACGCAAATGATTGCGATGATACCCAGCGTAGACTGATGAGTGCTGCGAGCGGCGGTGCCTGGCACAGCGTAGATACTCAGTACAGCTTTGTTCAATGAATGAGGTACATTCCAGGGCTCACTTGCTCATAAATATCAGATGAGGATGGATCTTAATGATCAATGATCTCAAGTCCCTTGTTTCACAGATGAAAAAAACTGAGGCTCAGAGAGGTGCCTGGAGCTGCCCAAGGTCACACAGTCCAGCAGCCAACTTGAACAGTGCCAGAAATGAGCTGGGAGCTTGGAGGGAGGCAAGGTTAAGAACAGGATGCTGTCCGGGGAAGGGGGCAGGGATGCTGCCTTGAGATTCCAAATGGATGCAGAGAGCTGTGAACCGGCCGGCTGGGGGAGGTGAGGGAAATGTGGTTTTCGAAATGGAAGAGGATGACTTTAGCAGAGGCTCTCAGCCCAGAGGGAGGGGGTGATAGGGAGGGTGGTGGGGGAGGGCGAGGGCTGTGAAAGTCAAGAGCTTATTAATGCACAGAGAACAGTTTTAACGGTGGAGAGAGGAAGGACCGGATTTGGGAGCTACAGCCCGCCTGAGGAAGTGGCAGAGGGATTTGGCAACAGCTTGGATGCGGGGTGGGGGGAGCAGTGGGGAATGGACCCCCAGGCTGAGGCTCAGAGAGGGGAGGGGCAGGATTCTTGAAGAAGGACTAAAGGGAATATAGGGTGATTGGAATCAGGAATTCTGTAGCCCAAAAATTGAGGCTGTGGGTCAAAGGTACCTGAACTCCCCAGGGTCTCTGAACTTTTGATTTTTCCTTCCTGACCTCCTGAAGTCCCCAAAGTGACAATTACCTCTGCACCCTCTCTGCCTCCCCCATATTCATCCTTTGACCAGGTATCTCTGGGTGCATCCTACTCTTGCTGACACTCCATAAAGAAGAGAACCTTAAATAGGTGTTTGAGTGGAAGGAATTCAGAGCCTGCCACTGGGTGGGCCAGAAAAGGACAAGGGGACCAGGCCGGGTTGGGCCAGGCTGAGGCCACAGAGATTCGGAGCCCACTGGAGACCTGAGCTGGGCGTGGGGTGATGGCAGCAGGGGGCGGAGAACGCTGGTGTCAGAGGCAGCCGAGAAGGTTGAGGGGGACGGATCTCAATGTGGCCAAGAGGAGGGTTCTTGGCAGGCTCAGTTCCTGTAGCGGAGAGGGCGGAAGCCAGATGGGAGGGGGCGAGAAAATGCAGGAGCACAGGAAGGTGGAGGCTGTGGGTGTGGGCTGGGAGTCAGCGCCCTCCCCCCCACCTGAGAGCCTGAGACCAAGTTCCTGGGTGGGGAGGGGGACCCTCTCCCCAGGCCGGGAAGGGTGGGAAAGCCACAGACAGGAAACAGGACCCCAGGATGAGCTGGCTTGAACAGAGAGGATGCTCTGGGCCCCCAGAACCAGGCCTCCTGGGCCTGCTGACCATGTGATGTCCTACACAGGAGGGGAGGACCTCAGTCCTGGGGCTCTGGTCCCCTATCTGGCAGCCTTTCATCTCTCTGGGGCTCAGTGCTCTCTGTGAAAAAAAAAAGTAGGCTGGGCTGGTGGACCCAAATCTGGTTGCCCATCACCAATACCTTGGTGAGCTGGGTAAAATGCAGAATGCAGCCCCCTGCTTTTTCCCCTCCGTGGAGCATGCCCACTCCTCCACCCACTGAACCACAGTTCAAGGTCATTCCAGAACTAACATGGTCTAATTCAGAGACTCCTAGCCTTATGTGTGGGACGGCCCCTCTAAGGGGACAATGATGCAGGACATCAGGGCAGCAGGCTTCCTTCCCGTCCGCTGTGGCCTGGGGAGGGTGGACCTGACAATTGGTCCCCTTAATATCCCAGCCCAGTAACAGAACTCTGGGGCCCCAGGTAGCTCCTGTGTTAGAGGAAAAGGGATGGGACCTAATTCTAGCTGAATCCCTATTGTCATAATAACCACCCCTTATTGATAGTGATCTGCATGCCGACTCGGTACTGTATCCTCACATGATCTAACCCTCAGCCTGCTGAGAGGGTTGTTCTCTGCATCATACCTACTGAGGAAACTGAGGCTCAGTGAGACTAAATAACTTGCCCGAAGTCAAGCAGCTGGGAAGAGAGCAAGCTGGATTTGAACGGGGGTTCTGCTGACTCCTGGGCCTGCAGGCTTCATCACTGGGCCACATCCCAGTGTGCCAGGCACTCTGCCCAGCACCTCCCCCATCTGATCTGTATGTGGACTGTCTTCTTCAAGCCTCAGAACAAACCCAGGAGGAGGGACACTCACCCTCACTTTATGGCTGAGGAAACAGAGAGCTGCCTTGGCCAAGTTCACAGTCATGGCTAACGCACAAAATGCCCACCACGTGTATTAATACATGTTGCTTCATTTCATCTCCACATCTTACAGAGGAGGTAACTGAGTCACAGGGATACTGAGAGATTAGCTCAAGTGTCAGCTAATGACAGGGCCAGGATTTGAAGTCTGGAAGGCTGGCTCCTACTCTGCATGCTTAACCAAATCAGAGGTTCTCATTCTCCAAGTGTGGTCCTCCCACCAGCAGCATGAGCATCACCTGGTAACTTGTAAAGACACGCAGAATCTCACCTCCGCCTCCCCCTCCCTCGCTCAGGATCTGCTGAATCAGAAGCCCTGGGCAGGGCTCAGGGATCGCTTTGGCTTCTGATGCCCCTCAAAGTTTTAAGAATGATATTGCTTCTCTCACATTAACCCCTAAATAGGTTAGAGGAGGCAGGATTGGAACCCAGGACTCAGAAGGTCAAACCCTTTCTGTTCTGCCACGACGAAATCCATACGTGTCTCAGGACCACTCTCTTCTTCTCGCCACCCTCCCCCGCCCCCCGCCAGGATGACCTGTTCGCGGACCTGGCCAACCTGAGCCACCTCTTCCTCCACGGGAACCGCCTGCGGCTGCTCACGGAGCACGTGTTCCGCGGCCTGGGCAGCCTGGACCGGCTGCTGCTGCACGGGAACCGGCTGCAGGGCGTGCACCGCGCGGCCTTCCGCGGCCTCAGCCGCCTCACCATCCTCTACCTGTTCAACAACAGCCTGGCCTCGCTGCCGGGCGAGGCGCTGGCCGACCTGCCGGCGCTCGAGTTCCTGCGGCTCAACGCCAACCCCTGGGCGTGCGACTGCCGCGCGCGGCCGCTCTGGGCCTGGTTCCAGCGCGCGCGCGTGTCCAGCTCCGACGTGACCTGCGCCTCCCCGCCCGAGCGCCAGGGCCGCGACCTGCGCGCGCTCCGCGAGGCCGACTTCCAGGCCTGCCCGCCCGCCGCGCCCACGCGGCCCGGCAGCCGCGCGCGCGGCAACAGCTCGTCCAATCACCTGTACGGCGTGGCCGAGGCCGGGGCGCCCCCCGCCGACCCCTCCACCCTCTACCGCGACCTGCCCGCCGAAGACCCGCGGGGCCGCCAGGGCGGGGACGCGCCCACCGAGGACGACTACTGGGGCGGCTACGGCGGCGAGGACCAGCGGGGCGAGCAGACGTGCCCCGGCGCTGCCTGCCAGGCGCCGCCGGACTCCCGCGGCCCCGCGCTCTCGGCCGGGCTCCCCAGCCCTCTGCTTTGCCTCTTGCTCCTGGCGCCCCACCACCTCTGACTGCGGTGCCGAGACTGAAGAGGCCGGTGTGTCCTCCCCCTCCACCCCCCACCCCCACCCCCCATCCCCCGCTGCCGCTCTGGCCCATCCCCGCCCTTGCGGCCTTGGGGCCTTGTTGCCTTCTTTCCCCTCCCAGCTCCTCTCTTCCCCTGGGACCAGGCCACCTCTCCCTGCCTCCCGAGCTGCTGACTTCTGGCAGCCCCAGGAGGGCCTGTCCGGTGGCTCAGCCCTCTTCTCCCTAGCTCTGGCCATTAATACCCGTCGCCATCCCAAGGCTGGGTGGGCACCGCAGGCAGCCGCTGCCCCTCCCCCAGTGCCCGCAGTGGACTCGGGACGGGCTTTGTCTGCAGAGCATCTCCCACCAGCACAGCCTTCGGAAGCTCCCGGGAAGGGAGCCCCGTCCAGGAGCCCTTTGGAGGGTTGCCTCAGTCGGGGCCAGGCTAACCCTCGGCCCCTGCTTATCCTAGCCCCCCCTCAACCTCCCGACACTGGAGAAATACTTTTCTCCTAAGTCTACCCTGGTCACTTTTTAGGGTGCCTGGAGAGAACTTTCCTCTCCGCCATGGCCCCTGTGTGGTGAAGATCAACAGAAGTTGTTTGGGAAAAAAAATTTATTAAAAAATTCTATTATTTTATCTTCTGTAAGATTTGTTGGCTCAGGACCTCAATCGTGGGAGGAGGGCTTAGAACCATCAGGATTTCAGGGCCAGGGAAGCCGTTCCACGCCATCAGAGTGCTTCTTGCTGTTCCCCCTATGATGAGAAGCTGAAGCCCGTGGAAGAAGGGCGTGACCCTGGAGTCCCAGGCAGGCCAGGTGAAGTGTGACTGCCAGGAGTGGGTGCTGATGGCACCTCACCTCATTTGTCCAGGAGAAGCAGCTATAGCTGACCCTCAGTTTTCTGTGCCTGAGGAGCTAAGCCTGGGGAAGGCCTCCAGCCCTGGCTAACGGTTCCCTGCCAGGCCTTGTTCCTTCAGGAAAGACAAGCAGTTCCCACTTTCTCCTGCAAGGAGGAGCAACATGGACAGCCATGGTCACAGCCAGCCCAAACAGGGCTTGGGGCATCTGAAAAAAGGCACCTCTTCCTCAGGGCTCTTGCAGCCCCACACCAGAGCAAAGACCTTAGCAAACAGAGCCTAAGGCTGGATTTCAGCTCGCACTCGCCCCCCTCAGCTGGGTGCCCTTGTGCAGTGTGCAGCCTGTACAGCTGTACACAGCAACCCTGTAGACAAATGGTCTCTTTTCATTGGCTCCTGTGAAGTAGAAGGCATCAGGGAGGAATCAGGTCAGAGAAGCAGTTCTCCAAGCAGGTTAGAGGAGAAACCCAGGCACTAGGGTGATCAGAGGGGCAAGAATCCCAAGTTGGGGGTGTCTTGCTGGCTTGAGGTGTGATCAGAAGCTTCATCTTTCCAGTGTGTGGAGGAGAGGCTGTGGAAAGGAAAGAGCCCTGGCTAAGAAGGACTTGGGTGAGTCTCATCTAACGGAAACAATTGGGGAGACATTTGATGGTTTAAATTTAGGATTAAAACTCTAACTTTGGATCTGGGAAGAGAAAGAGAGGGAACCTGGGTGTCAGGGCTCAGGGAATGCTGAGATTTTGTGACTCTGGCCAGACAAGTCAGAAGGATGGGGAGAAGAGGAGGTAGAAATGTGAAAGAATGAACGTCTAAGGCCTGAGGCAGGTGGACTTCGGATAAGGATGTGGGGTTGGTGGTGGTGCTGAATCTGGGGGGTCTCACAGGGACCTGTGTCAGGCTGGCTTTGAGGAGGCCAATGAGTGCGACTAGGGGGCCTGTCAGGCAAGAGCTCTGATGGAGGAAGGGCTGCTGGGGCCTGGGCAGGGGGAGGCGGGAGGATGCTGGTAAATCAGAAGCAGGCTGTCCAGGTCACAGAATTATCGTTGTGAAATATTCATGGGCCTTTGGTCCAGTTGCTATTTCGGAGCAGTGAAAGCAAGAGGAGTGTGTGAGCCCCAGGAAGAAGCCTACAGCAGTGCCACTTTCCCCCACCCCCACTGCCGGCCCCCACACGCCCAGACAGACCTACGGACGCCCATCACGTGCAAACCCACGCTCACACGCTCTCACACACACACTTACACAAAGCAGAGCTAGAGAGCACGTGCAGGCATGCCAACACCCACGGGTCCCACAAACAGGCAGATGCACCTCCAATGCCGACACGCATGCGCAGACGCTCGCAGGGACCCTTGCACAGAAACCATCCCCAGATATCTTGCAAGCACGACCCCAGCCTCTCCGAACAACCCAGATTGACAGCCCTGAGCTGCAAACACCCTGAAATAAGAGGGACTTTCAAGGCCATCCAGTCGAACCCCCACCACTGCTCTGAGGGGGCAGTGGAGGCCCAGAGAGGGGAGAGGGTTTTGTCAAGACTCCCCATCCCTGAAAGAAACAAAATCCATTCACCTCCCGCATTCTGTGAGTCTGCCTGACACCCAGCCTAGTTGTAGTGACCTCGTCCCTTTCTCTAGTCTCTTTCATCTGCTAGCTCACCCAGTCCCCCTCCCAGCCCCAATCCGGCCCTCCTTTTCCATTCCCCCTACTACCTTCCTGCTTCATCTCATTACCTCATGCCTAGAATATGGAAGAAAATAGCAGTAACCTCCTCCCCGGTTTTTCTACATGCAGTCTCTCTCTCCCTCCCACTCAGCCTGCCCGTGGTAGCCGGATTCATCTGATCACAATTTGCATTATGTCATTATGTTACTCTAGAACCTACAATGGCTCCCTATTTCCTGCAGGTTAAAGATGAAACACCCTAAGCGAAGCATCAAAGACCCTTCAGATTCTGGTTCCAACTGCCTTTCTAGCTTTTCCTCTCCTGGCCTCACCCCAAACCTTCACTCCAGCTAGAAGGACTGCATGCTGGCCATCAGTTAACCCACAAACCTACTTTGAACCCTCTCTAAAGTTCCTCAGTCTCCTCCAAACTAGGAACCGTCTCCGCTTGTCCTCTGATGACAGACTCCAGAGCCCTTCCCCAAGCCAAAACTGCATCTCGCTGACCTTATCTTATCCATGGGGGTTCTTTTCCTGTGTTTCAAAGCTGCTGGTGGAGACTCAGGCTAGGGTTCCCTCCAAGCAGATGGCTGCCCCCCACTGGCCACCTTGGGTATCACAGCCAGGCTCCCCCATCCTAAACTGGGAGTGAGCATCTATCTGCCTGGGGAGAGGAAGAGAAGGACGCCAGATGACAAGGTTTATAAGCCCTTAAACCTCTAAGGTTCTTACACTCAGAGTGGGTGGCAGGTTTTCAGCCCTGCTTTCTGAGCTGCTGGCTCCTGCCTTTAGCTCTCTAATCCATGAGAGAACCCCTTTCCTATGAAATACAAAGATTTTCGGAGGGTGGGAGGGGTGCTCCCAGGACACTGCTGAAAGGAAATTCGCCCATCAGACTCTTGAGAGGCCACTAGGCCAGGAACATCCAGGTGGCAGGCCCAAGGTCCAGCTGGGGTCAGGTTTCTAGATGAATTTTTAATGCTTCCAGCCAGATCTGTCAGATGTTCCGAAACCCGAGCATCTCCTTTCATCTCTGTACGTGATGCCCTTCCCCATCCCTAACTGCCCCTGGGGGTGGGGCAGGGAGGGTAGGCCTGGGTCAGCTACGCAGCAGCCTCCTGAGAAATGATTTGGGGGAAGTAGAAGAATGAGTGACCTAGTTATTTTCTCACTTGCTGTGTGACCTTGAGCAAGGTACTTAACCTCTCTGAACATCCCTGGTTTTGTTTTGCATTCATAACCTGTGGGCAATAGCACCTGCCTAAACTGAGTTGTGGAGTGTAAGTGCAATAGCCCATGGAAAGGTGACCTGCGTGTTTGCTGTTATTATCTTTCCTCAAGTCCTGCCTCTCTCCTGTTTTCTTCCAACCCCAGAGGTGCCTTTGGCTCTTTCTTTTGGAGGTGGGAACGTTGGCTTCGCCATTATCTGCTAAGATCCAAACTACCTACCCCAGGGTTCTTTGGCCTTCTTAGAAACTTCAGACATGATGGTGGAAGGGAAGTGAGACAGTGAGGCAAGGCTGGTGAGAGAAGAAAATGGAGCAGCTGAGGCAGAGGGGAGGGAAGCAGGCTGCAGAGAGACGAAGGGTCAGCCCTACTCAGAGAAGAGCCAGGCGCAGACTCATTCTTTCTTTCTCCTTCCTTCCTCCCTCCCTCCCTTCCTTTTTTCCTCCCTTCCCTCCTTGTTGGCACCTTCCATATCCTCTAGTACTCTCTCACCGGAAGCAGAGATGGCCCTCCTGAGCAGAGGTGAGGTCAGGAGCACGGAGGAGGGGTTGGGAGTAGGGGTCCAGGGCTGTTGATGAATCTTTCCAACCCATCAATTCCCTGCAGAGCGTTTCTGAAAAATGAAGGTCTCCTGTATCTGATTTAGGTGGGAAACTGCAAAGATGCAGATTCCTGAGCCCCTCAGCCCTGCTGAACCAGAGCTCCGAGGGAGCCCTGGAATCTGTATTTTAACATGTGGGGGTGGATTATCAAGCTCTCTAAAGGCTAAGAAATAACTCCTCAAAGGTGGGGTGGTCCCCGGGGACAGACAGAAGAAAGCAAAGGGAGAAGAGTTAGATCCCTCCCCCACCAAACACACACACACCCCCTCCACACTTGGTGGAAGTTACAGACAGTGCTGCATGGAGAGGGTGATGCCCAGGGTGGGAAAAAGGATGAAGGAGGCAGTGAGAGGACTCCAAGACAGACGGGGGAGGGGGGTGCAGGGAATGTGATACCCAAGGTAAGCAGCCGCAGGCAGAAACAGTCCCTTGCAGGGTGTCCCCACCCTTCGTGGCGACCTGAGACCCTGAACGTCTGGTCCCGAGATGTGGAGACTCTGGAAGACTCCTTTGTTTCTAGGGCGTGGGGTCAGGGAGGAGGCCTCATCCTCAGACACCAGCGCCCCTTCCCGGAGGTTCAACGTACAGATAAACGAATACACATCTACCCATCACTCCCCAACCCCCACCCCGGCCAGAGCCCTCCCGCCCCCTCCTCGGGTCCGGCCCTCTTCCGACCTTCTCCCCCCGCCCTACCCGCCCCCAGCCCCGCCCCCGTCCCAGCTTATCTGCATAAAGTTCCAATTAACACATTTTCCCTCAGCTATTTACGATCCCGGCAGTAGTTAGCTCCCAGCTCTGGAGCCCGCTGCCTGACGCCCCCTCGCCCCTCGGAGTTGTGGCCCCATTAACCCTTGCGACCCGGGCCTCTGCCTGCAGCCTTGACCCCGCGGGCCTGGCCCGCGCCCGGAGTCCGGGGGGTGGGGAGCGCGCCCCGAGGGGACGGCGGGCTCCGCCGCAGGCCAGAGGCCAGTGCTCTCCGGGAAAAAGGCAGGAGCTGGCCCGCCCCTCTTTCTGGGAAGAGATGGGGGGGCTTCTCCTGGGAGACTCGGGGCGTCGAAATTCCTCGTTCCTCATCCTCCGGCCCCCGCACCCCTCCTCCTCTCCGCCACGTACCCTCTCCCCTCCCCAGCCATCTGTTCCACTCGGCAGCGTCGCGACAAACACGGCTCCAACTCGCTTCCGCCCCTGCCCAGCCCCCTCCCCAAGCTCCCCACCCCGGGAACGCGGAGGGAAGAGACACCCTCGCCCAGGAAGCCGAGATCTCTGCCTGCATCTCCCACCCGGTCCTACGGCCCAGCTGGGCAGGGGCAGCGTCGAGACCCCCTCCTTCAGTCGCGAGGGTTGGTGGGGCCGGAGATAACGCTTAAAAGGGTGGGGGTCGGGGAGGGCGTGGGGAAATCCCAAGGGAGGGCAGCCCAGGCCAGGGTAGGGGCCTGGAGATCGAGACCCAGGAAAGGCAAACTAGTGGGTTTGCAGTGTCACTGGAGGGGTGTCGGGGTTCCTTTCATGGTTGGCCGCCGGCTCCCACCCTCCGACGCTGTCCCAGCCGCAGCCACGCAGCGCCGCCTGCTGGGCACACCGAGTACGGGGCGCACACGCCTTGCTTCCTCCGCCCACCCTCACCCCAAATCTGGTGGATCCCACTTCCTTTCAGCCTTCACCAGACCGTTCAAAAAGTCAAGGTCCGGAACAGGCAGCGCAGTGAGACCTTGACTGAGACGTGGGTAGGCCCTCTGGGAAACCGCCCAACCCTTTGCAGAGCAGCCAAGGATCTGTATGACTTTGCTGAGCCTCCAGACCCCGCTGGGCATGTTTCTCATCTGTAAAATGGGTAGGTCAGCCTGTTTCATCAGCTTCTAAAGAGAGTTTAAGACGTAAGGAGGGCTCATCTGTCATACTGTCTCCAAGGTTTTGGGGGGGATGGGTAAGGCCTTTGAGGTGACACTCAGCCCTGAGAGGGCAGCAGAGAGCCGGGCTGGGAATCTTGGAACCTCCTTTCTGCCTCTGATTGCCTTGGCCGACCGATGGTTAGGACTCAGGAGTCAGAATGTCCAGGCTCCAAGCTCAGCTCCACCACCTACCAGCCCTCGGTTCTCGTGCCTGAATCTGTCTGAGTTTTCCTCAATCTACAAAACAACCCACCTCTTACACTATAGTTAGGATTAAATGAGATACAGGTGTCGCCAACAGGTAGATTATCAACAGATGTTAGTGGCTCCTCCCTGCCCCATTCCTCCATTCTGTGACTTACTCTAGCCACTAAGGCACAGGTCCTGGGGACAGAATCAGATGTAGGAGTCGGATAAATACAGTATAGCTTCCTGGAAGGTCCCTTGTCCTCAAAGACAGTATCTTCCCTTGATGCAGGTAATTTTAAAGCCTCACTTTATTGCTCAAAAGTAAATATAAATATAGCATAAAATTAAGCTCAAAATTTGCATGAAGTTTTAAGATAAAACACTTTAAAAATGTTACCTTCAACAGACTTCCAGGGATGCTTTGATAGGAAAGTTTGAGGGTCATTCCTTAGCATTTGTTCCAAAGCATCCTGCCCTGACCTCCCAGATGTACCCCAAACCCTGGGAAGTGGGGGGCAGGAGCAGAGGGCAGGATCTGGACTCCCTGCAGACACTAAGGGCAGGGCAGGGCTGAGAACAGGATGGTGAGCCAGACAGCTAGAGGTGGACAGGCTGGCACTTGAGTCGTCCTACTTAATGCCCTGGCAAGCCTGGGTGAGGAAAAGGGATGGCTGTGGGAAGACACCCCCACCACAAGACACAGGCACACACCAGCCAGTCTCTCACTTCCCTTTTTATTTCCTCTAAGATCTACAAGTATCAGCACCAGGGAGGGAACCCACCACCCTCCAGCCTCACGAAGGGGCTTAACCCCCACACCCCGTCCAGGACACAGCCAACACTTCAGGTCCCTTCCCTCTGAGGGGAAGGTTATTTCTTTACAAATGCTCACATGCATGCACGCTCTGGGCATTGCACAGCTGAGACCTCAAGGGTCACCTGTTCGCTTATTCCATAAGCCCCCAGGAGGCACCAGGAGGTGGGCTCCTAGGACAAGGTCCAGAGAAAGGGCAGGGCCACACCCTGGTCTCTTCGAATCCCAGGATCAAGAAGGCTCAATCCCTGCACAGGGGATGTCTTCAGTCAATGGAGCATTGCTTTGGGGGATTTTTTTGTTTCCTTTTAGCAAGTCCCTACAAAAATAGAACTGCTTTTGGTATTTATAAATCCATGGCCCCTGGCTCTGTGTGGAGGTTACAGGTAGAAAAGCCATGAGGCATTCCCTTTGGTTGCTCAGGCCTTTGGCTGCCTGTCATCCAGGTCCCTTGGCTCAGAGGTCTACACAGTCACCTCGGGGCTGCCAAGCACCTTCAGGGGGACCTCCCAGGGGGTGACGTACTCCCTCTGGAGCCGGGCACGGTAGTAGAAGAGGTAGCAAGGTAGCAGGAACCCCAGAAGTGAGAAGAGCAGGAGGCCCAGATTCACCTTTAGGGCAAGGAGAGAGAGGGAGAAAGAGTCAGGTAGGGACGTCTTTACCCTCATCACCCTCGGGGACCCTCCTTGGCCCCCCACCCGGAGAAGGCAGCCTTATTAGTTCTGGGCTGGAATGATAAATCTAGCTAGCACTGATGGTGGGCAGTCACCATCCACCAGTATTCCCCTTAACGTTCAGCAGCCTTGTAAACCGTGTCAGAGACTGGTTTAAGCCCCGGCGAAAGGCAGTGGCTAAACTATCTGGTGCCATCTGAGTAGTCAGGGCTGAAACTGGACCTTCTGGGCTGGGAACCTTGACCTCTTTGAGGACATTGACAATGGGCCCCCATTCAGGGGGTGAGAAGAGGCTCTCAGGCGGTTAAAGGCTCTGGGGCTTGGCCTGGGGCACAGCACAGAGGCCCTCACGTGGCTTGGACCCAGCGCACAGGCTACTCTGCATTACTCACTACGTGGCTCTGGGCAAGTCATCCCAACCGTACGCACCCCCTTCTCTGGGCTGCTGCAGCGACGTTCAGTAAAAAAGTACCCCATGTGCTTAGCACCTGTGTGCATGCGGTAAACCGCAGCTGTCACTCTGTCATTGTTCTTGCAGGAGGCTTTAGGGGAGTGGGGGTCCCTCAGGGCAGACAGCTTTAGGGAGGTGATGTCACTTCAATGTAAGGAAGAGCCTTCCTGACAAGACCAAGTGTTGCCACCTTGTGTGGGAATGGCGCCCTGTTGCTGGGGGTGTTGGAGCTAGAGGGTCTAGAGGAACCCCTGTCCAGGGGTACTAGAGGGAGGATCCCTGCACTGGTGGAACTGGACGGGATCAGGACTGGATCAGGACTGGGATCACACATCACCTGGGATCTTATTAAAAACAGACTCCTGGGCCCAGGCCAAGAGACGCTGATTCAGTGGGCTGGGGAATCTGTGGGCAGCCAGCTTGGGAACCCCCAGATTAGAGACCTCCAAGGTGCCTCCTGGCTGAGATGCGAGTGAGGGATTCTGTCACATGGAAGAGCCCCCACCTCAACTCCTCGGCCACATCCAGAAAAGAGGGTCCTGCTGCCCTCATACCACCCCCGGTTCTCACCCAGAAGGGCTCTCCTTCCAAGGGTCCCACCATGACCATGAAGAGCGGCTGCTGGAGCAGGGCAAACACAGCACTGATGAGGGACTGCAGGCCTGTCAGTGTCCCAAAGTGGTTGGACGGGTACCTGTCAATGAGAGGACGGAGGGCCAGACGTGAGGGGCAGGTGGTCCTCTCCAGCCCAGCCCCCAGCCCGTCCCCTCCTCGGGCATCACTCTGTGTTCACCAGGCAGGGTAGAGCTTAAGAGGTCAGGCTCTTTGCATGTGCCCTGTGGTCCCTGGCCTCCGGGCTGTATGCTGTGACTTCAGGGCTACCGAGCTGGCTTCTGACACATACTGTCTGTGTGATAATAGCAAGTGGCTCAACCTCTCTGAGCCTCACTCTTTTCACTAAAAACCAGGGGCAGCACGAACCTCACTGACTGGTTGTCTGTTCTTTTAACATACATGTACTGAGCCCCTACTACGTGCCAGGTGCTATTCCAGGTGCGTGGAGATACAGCGGTGAACCAAAAGGACACGGAGGTGGTGGGGTGGGTGGTATCACACAGCAGGCAAGATAAACCCACGGTGTGCGTTAGACAGTGGTAAGTGCCAAGGGGAGAAGTTAAGCAGACAAAGGGGGTGAGGGTGTCAAAGGATTGCGACTGTAGATCAGAGGCCAGGGGAGCCCTGTCTCAGAGACAAGGACAGCTGGGTAAAGACCTGGAGCAGGTGAGACGGCTGTGAGCCTTGTGGATATCGGGAGGAAAAATGTGCTGCAAAGAGGGGACAGACAGCAAGTCCGAGGGTCCCGAGAACGGAACACACTTGGGGTTTCTGAGGCACGAGGCAGCCATCGTGGGGAAAGGGGGTGAGCGAGGCAGGGAGGCCCCGGGGGGCCAGATCCTGTAGGGCCTTTTAAGCCTTACTAAAGCTTTTGGCTTTTTCTCTAAGTGAGACAAGGCAGGAAGCCGTGGGGAGGCATGTCCTAACAAGTGTCTCCAGCTCCTGAGTTGGAAACACTGAGGAAGTCAAGAGCAGATACAGGAGACCGCTGGGAGGCTGCGGCAATAATCCAGGATGCGGGTGGCATCGCTGGAGAGCGTGAGAAGGGTCAGGTTTGGGGTCTGTGGAACGTGGAGCTGGCAGGGTTGCGGATGGATGGGCTGTGGGCTGTGAGGAAGGGAGGAATCCAGGATGACTCCAAGGTCCGGCTTGAGCTGAGGTGGCCATAATGAGGTCTGAATAAGGGGGGGATCCATGTTGCAGACAGTGCCCACCAGGGGGTAAGTTCTCCACATCGGTTACAATTGTGTCACCCCGCTGCCTCCATCACACACACCGGACAGACTCAGCCATGTAAACCAGAAGAGAGCAGGGAAAGGGAATGGTGGCTGGGGGTTTGGGGGGTTCAACGTGAAGCAGCAAAATTACGAGGCAAACGAGACTGGAAATTTCAACAAGGCTGACATAGGGAGAGAGGCCCCTTTGGGGCCCATTCCAGAAAGCAGGCATAGGACCGAAGGGGCATCAGACCAAGGATTTGCGCTTCCTGTAAGGGAAGACCCCAGACAGTGGTGTCGTCCCGCAGTGGGGCAGGCTGCCTTTGAGGACGTGAGCTCCCCGTCATTAGAGGAGCTCGGAGAGGGCAGTGGGCCAGACAGCCTCGATGTCAGCAGTCCAGGGAGGCTGGGGAGGGATGCGCTAAGGGGAGCCCGCAGCCCTTTTGCCCCTGCTCTGGAGTCTCTGGTTATGAGGGGATGTTCAGGAAGGCACTGTGGCCCCGGCTGACTCACACGGCGGCGTAGAGGCCTCCACAGGCTGAGTGGTAGAAGCCCCGAACCACGGTGTGCAGGACAAAGGTCAAAAACTGAAACCAAAAAAAGAGAGGAAAGAGGTTCAGAGCAGCGTGGAGGCAGGAGGAAGGATGGGTCAAGATGAGGGGTGAGAACAGAGGTGACACACGCCTGCCCCTTCACCAACACGACCTACTAGGAACCCTTCCTGGAGAACGGGGAAAAGAGACCCAAAGGATGGGAACCACGCTTCCTGGAAGGCAGGGGCCAGGTGAGCCGGGCCTTTGGCAGGGCTCCGGGAGGCAGGCAAAGCAGGGAGGATGGAAACCGGTACCTGGAGGTGTAAGCTGTCGATGAGACACGTGATGCCGAAACCCACCAGCAGGAAGTTGGTCAGGGTGAAGGCGTTGATGGTGTTGGTGAGCTTTTGGATCTTGCGGTAGCGTGGCTTGGCGGACTTGGTGGCAGCCCCATCCCTGAGAAGAATGGGCTGTCACTGGCCGCTGCCTCCACCTCCTGGGCAGCCCCCCCAGTTCTCAGCCAGGCCCCTCCCTCCTCGGCTGTGCCTTTGCCACGAGGGTGGCAGAAAAGGGAGAAGCCGTTTCTCCAGCCCCGTGGTTCTCCCAGTGTGGCTCCCCAGCATCATCTGGAGCCTTTGGTAAGAATGCAGATTCCAGGGCCTCATCCCAGACAGCAGAATCTCAGGAGTGGGGCCCTGGAACCTGCATTTGGAAAACTATCCCAAGTATTTCACAAGCACACTGACGTCTGAGAATCAGCGATGGGAAGGAAA